CTCCTTTTGCCTTCAATCTTTCCCAGCATCAGGGTCTTCTCAGGGTGGCCAGAACCAGCTGCAAACATTTGGACGACCACTAGATAGCAGCAAAGCAGGTTTATGGCGGCAAACCAAGTCTCTTTACTGCCCTCAAGTGGTTGTCTGGATTTGCAACTCCAATGGTAGTGCTGTCTACTACTGAGGTTTTTTCTGGAGCTATGGGGAGACTTTCAGAAACAAAATAGATGCCTTAAACCTTTAAAAATCCCCTCCAATATGGCTCACATTAGCTCCTGGCTCTTCCCACATGGACTGAGGCCCTTGATGTGCTGCAGAAGCTTCCAATCGAAGGAAGTTGCATATCCCAATGCTAAGCTCTGGCCATTCCCCTGAACAAGGAAATTTGCATGCTATCCTTTACTGATCTCTTATGAGGGCTGGAGCTAGCAAGGCAGAAAACAAGGGACCGGACAGGACTGCTGGGTCAACACAGACCAGGGTCAACCAACTGGCTAGTGTGAGAAACAGACCATGAGCAGTCCTTTACAACAAAAAGTTGGGAGAAAGAAAACATCCCCTAAATCTTAGGGCATGCATGCATGTAGAACTAAATTCTTAGCTTCTGCAGATGCTGATCTTCCTTGCCCTAAGGTTGTTTGTGTCTGCAGAAAGTATCTTATCTGTACAGATTGGTTCTTGGTCTTCTTGAGAAAGTGCTGAGTTCCTAGAGAATGAGTTATGGCAGTGGCTGGAGGCGAACTCAGATAGTTAGACCATCCCTTCACCAGCTGTTTTTGCACAAGCCACTTCATTTTGTTACTGAGCTGACCTAATTTCTAGGTTTATGCAATATATTTAGCCAGCAACTAACCCAATGAGCTGAATTGGCAAAACACACTGAGTTTCACATGCATGCACACTAAGCTAGCTTAGGATGTGCTAATGGCATCTCGTGGTTTAGGTCAGTATTTCTCAACCTTGGCAGCTTTAAGATGGGTGGACTTCAACTCCCAGAATTCCCCA